GTGTGTGAGAGAGCCCATACCCCAGTGACAGTCTGTGCGTGTGTGTGTGAGAGCTCGTACCCCAGTGAGAGTCTGTGTGTGTGTGTGTGTGTGAGAGAGAGAGCCCGTACCCCAGTGACAGTCTGTGCGTGTGTGTGTGTGAGCTCATACCCCAGTGACAGTCTGTGTGTGTGTGTATGTATGTGAGAGAGAGCCCGTACCCCAGTGACAGTCTGTCTGTGTGTGTGTGTGTGTGTGTGTGTGAGATGGGGGCGCGGGGAGGCGAGTTGTGATTGAGAGGGCAGGCTGCCGTGCTCCGTTAATGTCTGGAGAGATTCCTTGACTCGCTCGTGGTCAGCTCGAGCCCTGGAGCTGTTCCTGGATTCCTTACTGACCAAGGCCTGCCATGTGACTCAATCACGAAATGCCAAGACCATGACCACATCTCACCTGTAAGGACAAACCCCGCGTGCTTGTTTCACTCGGTCTCCCGTTCCTGCTGGCAACCTCCCTTCGGCGTGAACCGTTCCGGCTATCTCGTCCAATACGACGCCTGTGCTGCCAAGTTTAGGCTTTTCCCCACTGGACCTCAGCTTCCCTTCAGCAGCCTGCTGGCCGGCAGGATGCAGGGCAGTAACTGATCAACCAGCCGATGTTTCAAGTCTGACCTGGACCCCAGAGACTCTGTGATGAGCTCCTGGGCTTACGCTGGGCATAGTAAAGAATGCAGCTTCAGCATTGACAGGTACAGTGTAGAGGGAGCTTTACTCTGTATCTAACCCCGTGCTGTCCCTGTCCTGGGAGTGTTTGATGGGGGGACCATGTAGAGGGAGGTTTACTCTGTATCTAACCCCGTGCTGTCCCTGTCCTGGGAGTGTTTGATGGGGGGGACAGTGTAGAGGGAGCTTTACTCTGTATCTAACCCCATGCTGTCCCTCTCCTGGGAGTGTTTGATGGGAGGACAGTGTAGAGGGGGCTTTACTCTGTATCTAACCCCATGCTGTCCCTGTCCTGGGAGTGTTTGATGGGGGGACAGTGTAGAGGGAGCTTTACTCTGTATCTAACCCCATGCTGTCCCTGTCCTGGGTGTGTTTGATGGGAACAGTGTAGAGGGAGCTTTACACTGTATCTAACCCCGTGCTGTCCCTGTCCTGGGAGTGTTTGATGGGG